AGCGCCGAGCGGACCTCGCCCGTGGCGGGCTCTGAGGAGGCGCGCCGGGCTCCAGCGGCCTTGAGGTGTTGGGGCGGAGGAGGACCTCTCCTTGTTTCTGGTGCTGTTTTGACAGCTGCCGCATCTCGGTTCCCTCCGGGTAGCCCGACGGCACAACCCTGACAGGAAGCGTACCTGTTATTTTTGTCAGCGTTTTGTGGGTGGAGGGGTTGCTTGTATTTTTGAGACAGGCTGTCGCTAAGGAGTGCAGGCTGGGCTTGAACTCACTGAGCAGCCTAGGCTGGCCTCGAACTCCAGGCGATCCTGCGGCCTCAGTCTCCAGGCTTAGATTACAGGCGTGTGCCACTGTGCCCGGCAAGAGATAGATTCTCTTGGAGGAGAAAAATGCCTTTTCTTCGTTTTATTTCGCCCCGGTGGAGTTGGTTCCATCGTCAGCCCTCCGTGTGGAGGGTGTTTGCAATTCAGTGGGAAAGTTAGGAAACACTCAATGCTCCCAAGCCAAGTGTGTGTGTCAGGGGAGCTTTAAAAATTAAACTCCAGATGGTGCAGTCAATAGAAGTCAAGCTTCATCTAATTAAAAGAAAAAAATCTCATAGAAAAAAAATCAATATGTTTCAGTCGTTCTCACATCCAAAGCCCTAGTGTAGCTCTCTCTTGGGTATGTATAGTGTTGCTCTTTCAACTTCAAAGCGTTCAGTGAAATTTGTTGGGGTTTTTTGTTTTGTTTTGTTTTGTTTGTCTTTTTGAGACAGGGTCTCACTCTGCACTTCAGGCTGGCCTTGAGTTCACTTTGTAGCCCAGGCTGGTCTCGAACTCGCAACAATCCTCCTGCCTCAGCCTCCCTAGTGCTGGAATTACAGGCGTGCGCCACCATGCCCGGCTGCCTTCTGTGAAATTTGGAGTTGTGTTTTTATCAGAACTAATGTGGAACATGAAAATAATGGGCATTTCTTCCTAGCTCAGTTGCTTCCTCCACTGTGATAAGAGAGTGAAAGATTGTTACTCAGCCTGTTGATAATGTTTTTCATTGTTTTCATCAAGAAACCAATCTTTCTTTGTTCCTAATCAACCTTTGTGTTTGCTCATAGGTGAAATTAAGGATTGTTAGAAAACGTAGATGTTTACTCCACACTGGAAAATGCTACAGAGGAACCAGACTTCTTTCTATATAAACAGCATTGCATAGCATCTGAAAAGTCCACCAACCTTATGTGAGTCAGAGGTTTTGAAAATATTATGTTGTTTGGAAAATGTCTATTTTTATTTTATTAGATATGTATCAGGAAATGTTTAGTTATAAGGTCTACTGTATAAATCAAGGTAAGTTTTCACAAAAATTATAACAAAGATGAAAACAAGAGACAAACTAGGTATTTCATTAAATGCTTTTGCAGTGACTTTTTTGGGCTGCAGTATTTCAAGTTAGTCATGTGAATTAGATTTATTTTTAAGCATAGGGCTTAAAATAAATCTGGCAGTTGCACTAAAATAAATTTCCTAAACCCTACTTGTCCTTTATTACCATTTTTAGGTATTCTTAGGAATTTTGTTGTTTCTCAGAGAACTGAACATTATGTTGCTTTCCATTTGGACACACGTGAAAAAGTATAGGTAGCCAAGAAAATACGTGAGTGGCACTGATAAAGGAAAGTGGTTGGCAAAGCTACTAGAAATATGTGCGAAGTTTACATATTTTATTTATTTGTGAGGCTATTCTGATAACTGTAACAAACATTTTTTTTCTTTTTTCTTTCACTGTTACATGGACTCTACCAGTGTTTTTGTTTTGTTTTTTGAGGCAGGATCTCACTGTTGTGCAGCCTAGTCTTGATCTCTATCCTGTCAGCCTTCCCAGTAGCTGGGATTATAGGTGCACACCATGGCAACAATTTAAATTGTTTAAATCCCCATTCGTAATAGGGTAGACTTATATGACATTAAAAATGCTCTCCATCTTTAAAATTCTATCATCTCATTGTGTCTAATCTCTCTAAAAGTACTGTGGGTATGTGAGATTACCCTTAACTTTAGAGCATAAGACTGGGTCCAGCAGACCCATCCTTTTCTTTTCTACTGTAAATTTGAACTTAGCATTATAGTAGCTGGCTGTACATCTCAGTACCTTTCCATGAGGGATACAGGAAGCAATCTATGTGTTTTCCCACTTGGTAGGATAAACAGCAAGAAGTGTACATGTGTGCAAAAGTGGCAAAACAGGATTTGGATCCAACTTTATGCTCTAAGTCGTTTGTGTTTGTTTACCCGAGCATCACAGAGGGTCCAGGAGACCCACGTCACTTTAGGATTTTTTTAAAAAAAATTCTCTTTTGATTTTTCTGGTAGAAGTAGTCCCATTCAGTATACTGGCACATAAAAAAACAGATTTGCAAGTTTTAGAGAAGATCAAAAGTGAATCATCAGATAATTCGTGCATGGATGATGAAGATGATCTGTTATGGTAAAATACGTAACAGAAGAGTGACATGGCTATATAATGATGATGATGATTATGAATTTGACTTTGGCCATGTGCCGTAGTTCCTGTGACAGTGAAATGGAGCAAGACTAGACTGATACAGACACATGGGATTCAGACCTCCTTGATTCAGATGACAAAAAAAACAGCAATGGGAATATATATATATATATTCCCCCCCTTTTTGAGACAGGGTCTCACTATGCAGTTCAAGCTGGCCTTCAACTCACTATGTACCCCAGGCTGGCCTCAAACTCATAGTAATCCTCCTGCCTTAGCCTCCTGAGTGCTGGGATTACAGGCATGGACCACTACCTCCAGCTCATGAGTACATATTTGACAAGTTGAAATGTTGCAAAATGACCACACAACCAAATGGAATGATCCAAGCTGGGTGTGGTGGTGCACACCTGTAATCCCAGCACTCAGGAGGCTGAGGCAGGAGCATCGTTGCAAGTTCGAGACCAGCCTGAGCTACAAAGTGAGCTCAAGGCCAACCTGAACTGCAGAGTGAGACCCTGTCTCAAAAAAAGACAAAAAACAAACAAACAAACAAAAAAACAAATGGAATGATCCATTAGAACCATTAGAACTAGGTCCAAAAATATAGCGAACCATAGTGAACAGAATGCTAGCATTGCCATTCAATGTTGGAAATTGTAACAGACAAAATGCTGCAAGATGCCATGAAATACATAAAGGCTGAAATGCAAGTAAAACATTCTGTATACACCAGTAGCCATTCTCAAAAGTATATTTATTTGTTTGGTATGGAGAATTGAACTCGCAATCTTGCACTTGCCAGGCAAGCGCTATGCCGCTGAGCTGTATCTCTGGCCCTCAAAAATATATTTATTATGACACTTTACTAGCTGCACTGAAAGCATTCATAGGTCTGCTGTACTTAGCACAGATTTTTCATGGTGATCACAGAAACGTAAAAGACTTAAAAACAATGGGTCCAAATATGACATAAAAATTTATGTCCTTGTACATGTGAAGATTTATTATGCTTTTAATTTAGACATTTATCCTGGAAGTCAGCCATCAAGCCATTCCTTATTCATGTAGTAATAAACCAAATGACGTTGTGAACAGACTTGTTTCTCTCATCTCCCAGACTAATTAGATGTGACACTGGACAACTGGTTTACCAGTTTCCCACTGATGTTACATTTGGTAATAGAGCACAAGTTGACCAGCACAGGAGCTATACAGAGGAATAAAGTAAAATTTCAAATCCAATGTTGCAATTTCAAAACAGAGAATTGTATAATACAGTCTTTGGATTTCAAAAAAATGTAATGTTGTCCTCATATATGCCAAAAAAGAAAAGCCAAACTGGTACTGCTGATACCAACATTTCACCATGATGGAAATATTGATAGGAAAACCTCAACAAAGTGGAAGCCTGAGATGGAAACTTTTAACAACAAAACCAAAGGTGCAGTAGATGTTTTTGATGTTCATATAGTAACTAGGATGTCACTTGAAACACAAAGCATTGGCTATTGGTTTGTTTTACTCCTAAACATGTGAGGCATAGTTTGATAGTTTACAAAGAAAATAACAAATGCAAAATATCACAGAGAAATTTTCTTAGAAGATTGGGATTGGAGTTTATAAGAGATCATTTACAGCGGAGGAAAAACAAAATGTTTCTGCACAAGGAGCCACACAGAAAATTGTGGTGTACACTGGAGAGCTGACCAGTGAGCAGGCAGGCACAGCATCTCAAAGACCTATCATGACAGTAGGAAAACAAAAAAGATGTCAACTGTGTTCTAGAAAAAAGTACAGCTGGGCATGGTGGCACGTGTCTGTAATCCCAGCACTTGGGAGGCTGAGGCAGGAGAATCATCGCAAGTTCAAGGCCAGCCTGGGCTACAAAGTTAGCTCAAGGCCAGCCTGAACTGCATAGGGAGACCCTGTCTCAAAAAGACATTAAAAAAGTACAGGAAAACAAAACATACTATCAGTGTGATACTTGTGTATGGAACATGCAGTTGTCATGTGTGAAGACTGCCTTGGGTGTGACACTTGAAGCAAAGATTATTTCTGTGGCAGACTTTTGTTTGTGTTTACACTATAGTTCATATAGGTTTTCATTATTGATGTGTTTTAGGTTTTGTAAGCAAGTAAATAGCTGATGTGAAAATGTTGATGTCTATTCTAAGCATTCATTACATATTTGATATTGTATTTTATTGACATCTTATTTTCCTTCTAAATGCATACTGTATAATATAGTAGGAAGCCCCTGATCAAACAGGAACACAAATGAGGTGACAAGAGTGGTCTGCCACATAGGAAAGAAAAGCTAAGCACATTTACTGCCAGTGTAAGTGAGACGTGTGCATGGAACATGCAGTTGTCATGTGTGAAGACTGCCTTAGGTGTGACAGTTGAAGCAAAGCTTATTTTTGTAGTAGAGTTCTATCGGTATTTTCATTGTAGTTCATATAGGAATTTTTTTTTATCTTATTTTTTAGGTTTTGTAAGCAAGTACACAGCTGATGTGAAAATATTAATGTCTATTCTAAACGCACAATGTGTATTAAGGATTTAATAATTTATTTTATTGACATTTTATTTTCCTGTTAATTACACACCATACAATATAATAAGAACCTCCTGACAAAACAACAAGACCACCAAGATGTCAAATATGTCCCACAAAAAGGTCAGGAAAGCAAAAGACATGTGCTATCAGTGTAAGCATTTCATGTATATGGAACGTGCTATTGTGTGTGCTTTGATATGATAATTGAAGTAAAGATTTTTTTTGTTGAGTGCTATTGGTATTTTCATTGTTTATATGGGAATTTATTTCTGATATTCTTTTTGGACTTTGTACAGCAAAAAACTAGTCTATACAATGTTGATAATTTTGATACTTTTTAATAAACACTCAATAAATATTAAAAACTCAATACTTTATTTTTGTGATTTTTTTCCTGTTAAGTA